AGCAGATGGCTTTTCTGAGCATGCAGGATGGACAAAAGCCTGTCGGGGTAGCAGCAGGGTGGTGCCTTGGTGGTGCTGTAAAGTGTATGAGGTAAATATCTCCTGTCTATCTCCAGGTGTACAAAACATTGAGAGAAAACAAAGAGCGATTCACCAGCCGTATCGCAACGATAACTAAGCAATCCCAAGACAAGGAATCCGCTCCCTCTGGTGGGTACCAACCTGCTAGTTTTGGGGTTGGCTCTGTTTTTTGCAAGTTTGAGGCCTCTAAAACAAATTACAGTTTTGTTCCCTGTGGAATCACAGATGTGCCTTCACAGCATTGACATTTCTTGGTGTGTTGCCTTGTTTGGGAATTCCCATTCAAGGCCGGGCTGCACAGGGCTTGGAGCAACCTCGTCTAGTGGAAGGTGCCCCTGTCCATGGCAGAGGGGTGGAACAGGATGAGCTTTAGGGTCCCTCCCAGCCCAAACCCTTCTGGGATTCTGTGACTTCCCAGCACAGAAGCTGGTGCTGGCTCTGCATGATCCAGAACCAGGCTGTTTTACAGACAATCCTGAGGATGCAGCAGGGTGTCTCCCAGGGCTGATTTCTGCCATTTACTCCTTCTGTGATAAAAGGAGAAAAGACTGAGCCCTGCTTCTGGCTTTTATCTTTGCACAGTCTGGCAAAGCCACTGTGATTCCAAAGGGCCTTTTCCCTGGATAGTGGAGAGCCTAGAGTCTGCCCTGAACTGCAGTTCCCAAACTGCACTAACCTTGACAGCCTGTGCTTCACTGGATTAAGCCATGTCTTCTCTTTCAGGTACAGGTGCTGCTCCTCGGGGCACGGCAGGTGAGTCCTGGTGCCAATGTTTAAATGCCTGGTTTCTTCCTGCATACAGTTTAACTGCATATTGCTTAGAAACAGGACCTGCCTGTGCGAGGAGATGCCTTCTGCAGGAACTCAAAAGTTGTCTCCTTGAATACAGTTACAGAAAAATGTGCCTTGGCCTTTTGGGGAACTTCCCTTTCTTATAGACGGTTCACTGCTGGGCCAGTGCAGAGTTTTGGTCTAGGAAAAAACAATTTGCTGAAATTATTATTACCTGACTGATTTATGCAGGGAGCCAGCTTTGGGGGAAGCAGCA